CTGGAGTGTGTGTGTGTGTGTGTGTGTGTGCAGGCAGTTGGTGTTGTTGCTGGAGTTGTACAGTGCTCAGGACGTCCACGATTATCTCCGACCGCTGGCCTTCTGTCTCTGCACTGACCGAGTCTCATCCGTACGCTGGACATCCTACAGACTGGTACGTGCACACACACACACACACACACACACACACTCATCTCTGTTTTGTCTTTCACCATTGCTTGTTGATTATTTGAATCAGGAGTTGTTCAGAATGAGTGATTCATCCTGATTACATGAGTCATGAGTGAGTCGTTTAGTGAGTCAACATCAGCAGACTGTAGATGAGTGAGTCATTCTGAATAAACTGATCACTCAAGGTGCACTGGTCTATTCTAAAGCTCTCGAATAATCGACAGTGATTCATCCAGAATGACTCGAATAATCGACAGCGCTTCATCCAGAATGACTCGAATAATCGACAGCGCTTCATCCAGAATGACTCGAATAATCGACAGCGCTTCATCCAGAATGACTCGAATAATCGACAGCGCTTCATCCAGAATGACTCGAATAATCGACAGCGCTTCATCCAGAATGACTCGAATAATCGACAGCGCTTCATCCAGAATGACTCGAATAATCGACAGCGCTTCATCCAGAATGACTCGAATAATCGACAGCGCTTCATCCAGAATGACTCGAATAATCGACAGCGCTTCATCCAGAATGACTCGAATAATCGACAGTGCTTCATCCTGAATGACTCGAATAATCGACAGTGATTCATCCAGAATGACTCAAATAATCGACAGTGATTCATCCAGAATGACTCGAATAAACGACAGCGCTTCATCCAGAATGACTCGAATAATCGACAGCGCTTCATCCGGAATGACTCGAATAATCGACAGCGCTTCATCCGGAATGACTCGAATAATCGACAGCGCTTCATCCAGAATGACTCGAATAATCGACAGTGATTCATCCAGAATGACTCAAATAATCAACAGTGATTCATCCAGAATGACTCGAATAAACGACAGCGCTTCATCCAGAATGACTCGAATAAACGACAGCGCTTCATCCAGAATGACTCGAATAATCGACAGCGCTTCATCCGGAATGACTCGAATAATCGACAGCGCTTCATCCGGAATGACTCGAATAATCGACAGTGATTCATCCAGAATGACTCGAATAATCGACATTGATTCATCCAGAATGACTCGAGTAATCAATGGCGATTCGTTCAGAATAGCTCAAATAATTGAAAAACTGCAGAGAGAATGAGTCATTTTGGGTGAATCACTCTGAATTGTTTGATTTGAGTCATTCTAAATGAATCATGCAGTCTGTTCATTATTTGATTCATGAGTGAGTTATTCTGGATGAATCACTCTTGATTATTTGAGTCAGGATTCATCCAGAATGGCTCAATCCTGAGTGAATTATTGATTGTTTGTGGATTTATTCATGACCAAGTCATTCTGATTGAGCTGTTCTTAGGGAATCGCTCTGTTGATTTAGAGTGAGCGAGTCTTTCTGGATTATTCAGTCCATTATTTGACTCGTGAGTGAGTCGATCTGGATTTACCCCAGGGGTGGAAGAAGGCTTTGAGGCGTCTTCTCCAGATAGTTAGACTGCAACTATTTGCCGCAGCTCACATTCACACACAGAATGAGTCCTGTATTCAACTGATTATTCCTCATCCTGCTCAGTGTTTTCAGTGCCTGTTGAGAGTTTAGTTTAAGTTATTCATTTATTATGAAGTTTTTTGTTGTATTTCAGGTAAATCTTTGTTTTGAGCAATAGTTTTAGTCTTAGTTTTTAATGTGGTGATTCTGCAATGCTTTCATCATGTAGAATGATTTACACTCACTGGCCACTTTATTAGGTACACCTGTCCAACTGCTGATAATGCACATGTCTAATCAGCCAATCACATGGCAGCAGCTCTCTGCATTTCAGCATGTAGACATGGTCAAGAGGATCTGCTGCAGGTCAATGGGCTACAGCAGCAGAAGAGCACCAAAATATATATAAAGCTCTTCAATTCATATATATGTATATACATACACAGCATGCACACACACACACACATATTTATATACATATATAAGTGCACATACAGTGCTCAGCATAATGGAGTAAAGCCCGTTAGAAAATGAGTATGTTCCTCCATTACTTGGTGAATATAGGCAGTGTATTTTGGTGCATTTAAACAAAACAGATTTATTAAACAGATATATTTATGAAAATAACATTTTAGTCCCCAAACATGTTGAGTAATTGAAAGAGAATACGATTAATTTCAAGCTGAACATTGCAAAAATAAACTACAACCTACAAAATGTCAACTCATTCTTCAATGTTTTGCTTCTCTTGATTTTTCCTCTTGGTTATTTGTATTTAATATTTCTCTATAGCATATGAATGTGGCTGTACTTGTGTTTTTGCTTTATTGTAAGTTTTTTTGTTAGATGAGCTCCAGATTTGGCTTCAGTGCTGATTAATGTATATGCACTAATACTGTAGAGCTTCCTATTGAACATCAGTGTAAAAGAGAGATGTGTGAGGGGTGTGTGTACGCATATATGCTGAGCACGGTCTATTGTTTACCAGAGTGTGTGCATGGTCATACAGTACTACAGCAGGCATTCAGCTTCTGCAGATGGACATTGCTTTACAATAGCCTTGATGGGTGAGCGGGGGGGCGTCTTCAGTCTCTCCAGGTGTGAATTATTCATGACCGTTGTCACTCATACGGCTGAGATCACCCAAAACAAGCTTAAGCTGTAATTTTGCATGTAAGTTTTGTAGAAAGGAATGAAGCTGAAATAAGGTCCAGAAAACCCTCTGACTGTGCCTGAACAAGACTGAGTCAGCAGACTAACTGGCTGGAGTATTCCCTGCACAATGATGTGAACACGATGCTGACCTCTCAAAGAAAACAGTACAGTTATCAGTCTTGTTCAGGCACAGTCAGAGGGTTTTCTGGACCTTATTTCAGCTTCATTCCTTTCTACAAAACTTACATGCAAAATAAAAACACACGCCAGCACGTTCATCAATGTTTCTCACATATTATTGTAGCACAGTAATGCTGAATCCAAAACACACACACACACACACTGGCCAGCACTGTGAGAGAAGCAGCTGAAATAAGCACACATGACAGGGCATGTCGAAACATCTCAGACGCCCCAAAATCACCTCAACCCCTGAGCCTGAACCTGTCAATTACTCCAGTCAGAAATGAGTTCTTCAAATCATATGAATGATCAATTCTGAATGAATCATCTGGATTATTTGACTCATGACGGAGTCACTCTGAATGAATCATCTGGATTATTTGACTCTTGAGGGAGTCACTCTGAATGAATCATCTGGATTATTTGACTCATGACGGAGTCACTCTGAATGAATCATCTGGATTATTTGACTCTTGAGGGAGTCACTCTGAATGAATCCCAAAACTCTCTCATGACTCAGATAATCACACTGTCATTCATCTGAATCATAATTGAATCATTGTGAATGAATCAATGTCAAGCATTTGACTCATGAGTGAGTCGACCTGAATGAATCACTCTGATCATTTGACTCGTGAGTGAGTCCTTCTGAATGTGTGTGTGTGTGTGTGTGTTGGTCAGGTGAGCGAGATCATCAGGAAGTTGTCGTCGTGTTCGTCTCTGCTGGTGTGTTTCCTGTCGGAGCTGGTGGAGAAGTTCTGTCACTCTCAGAAGTGGTCCAGTCGGCAGGCGTTCGCCTTCGTCTGTCAGGTGAGCTGCTCTTCATCCTCCTCATGCTCATCGTCCTCAGCGTCTTCATCCTGCTGATGTGTGTGTGTGTGTGTGTGTGTGTGTGCAGCTCTCCATAGAGGAGGAGTGTCTGACTCTGGATCAGTTCTCGGAGCATCTTCTTCCTCCTCTCCTCCGGCTGGCGTCTGATCCGGTCCCTAATGTACGAGTGCTGCTGGCCAAAACCCTGCGCCAGACCCTGCTGGAGCGAGGTGTGTGTGTGTGTGTACATTTTAATTTCAAGCAGACTGGAATCACACACACAGTGTTTATTTTGCTAGCTGAATAATGCGTGCGTGTGTGTGTGTGTGTGTGTGTGCGCGTGCGTGTCTCCCTCAGAGTATCTGGTGAGCTCGTCTCCCGGTCAGCAGGAGGCGCTGGAGCACACACTGCTGTCGCTGCAGACGGACGTGGATAAGGATGTGAAATATTTCGCCAGTGTGCATCCGGCAAACACCCGTCTGAACGAGGACGCCATGAGCACCACCTCCTCCACATACTGATCACATGACTGACCAGGACCTTCCCAGAATGCACCTCACTGCGGGGCCCGCGGGATCGGTGTCGTTCTGTCTTGATTTCGCCACAGGAGCCTTAAACACGTCTTCCTTAAACACACACACACACACACACACACATCATACTTGAAGAGCTGCAGCAGCAGACTGACCCACCACCCACTGGGTCAACAGGCTCTGGTAGTGCTGAGTGTGTGTGGCCACATTGGGCTGTTGGTGCTCTAGTTAACAGGCTGAGCTGGGTTAACTAGCTCTGGGTTAGCTGGGTCAGGTAATGCTAGGCTGGGTTATTTTGTTCTGCTCATGTGGGTTAATCAGGTCTGAATTAACAGGTCAGGATGGGTTAAAGGGTTCTGGGTTAGCGGTGTCTGGGGTGCTTTAACCAGCTATGGTAATCCTAGGGTTGGTTAACCACTGGGCTCATGGTGTTTGGTAATACTTGGGTGGGTTAACCAGTTCTGGGTCACTCGTCTGGTAATAAACGGGTGGGTTAACCAGCTCTGGGTTTGCTGTGTAGGGCAATAACCAGATGGGTTAACTTACTGTGGTAATACTTGAGTAGGTTAACCAGCTCTGGGTTAGTTGTGTGTGTCTGGTATCAGTCAGGTGGGTTATCCAGCTACCGTAATTAACCACTGGGTTAGTTTAGTGTCATGATAGTTGGGGGGGGTTGTAACTCTAGAATGGGTTAACCAGCTCTGGGTCACTCATCTGGTAATAGTCAGGTGGGTTAACCAGCTCTCAGTCAGTTTAGGTCTGGTAATACTCTGCTGGGTTCAGCAGCTGTGGTGAACTAGTCTAGAGCTGGTTAACCCACACCAGCAGAACCCACCGCTTCATGCTAGTGTGGGTCAACCGGCGCTGGGTTAGTTCAATCTGGTCATACTCAAATGGGTTATTTGACTGGTTACAGGGACTTGGCTCCTGGTTAGCGGTGTGTGTGTGTGTGTGTGTGTGTGTGTGTGTGTGTGTGTATGTGTGTGTGTGTGTGTGTGTGTGTGTGTGTATGTGAATGATCTGAAGGGCTGTTTTAATGTTGCGCTGCAGCACATTGTTGTAGTGCTGTGCGCGTGTGTGTGTGTGTGTATGAACTGGTTTTTAACGTTGTGAATGTGACCTCCGCCAGTGTGTGTGAGCTGCAGCGTGCTGTTTTACCTCTGTCCTCCTCCTCTTCTGTATATACTCCTCTGTTTTGGGTCATCAGTAGCTGATCTGATCTGATTCTCTTAACGGTCCACAATAAACTTTACATTAAACACTGATCTGTGTCTGGAGGTGTTCTCACTCACACTTCACCACACACACACACACGCTGGTGTGTTTTCAATATTACACATTTATGAATCAGCATTCATCTGATCATCTTCACACTTTCTCCAAGATCTCCAGAGATTTAGGAGACTCAAACGCAGGTCTCGAGGGGTCTTCCTTTCAGTTTTGGTGTTTTGTGATTTATGTTGTAAAATGATGGAATAAAATCAGTCATAAATAATTTGACAGTGATTTTATTCCATATAAAAGACTGACAGTGATGTTGTGTCTGCAGACGTGTGAGTGTGTGTGTGTGTCGTTTCCCAGCATTTGAAGAAAGAGTTCAGAGTTTTGTAAATGAGTCGATTATTGTGAGTTTAGTGTTGAAGATCGACACCAGAGTTCTGAAATCTGGGGCAAAACAACTGGAAAATATCTGTAATGTGGAGTTAGTAGAGTAAAACAGCAGACTAGTGTGTGTGTGTGTGTGTGTGTGTGTGTGTGTGTGTGTGTGTGTGTGTGTGTGTGTAAATACACTCACTGTAATCTGACAGCTGAGAGGATTATTCTGTTTCTCAGACACATCAAGATAAGTGTGCAAACATCTCTCTTACACACACACACACACACACACACACACACACACACACACACACACACACACTATACTCCATATATAGGCCAGTAATGAAGGTATATGTCTGTATATTTTGCAGTGCAACTGATGATCAACAGTCAAAATTCCCCATCAGGGAAATCAGCAACACTGGAGAACGCCTGATCATCACATTTACTTTTCTTTTTTAACTCAGAGTTATTTGATTTGCTGAAACAGGCAGATGAGGCCACAGGAAGACTCGGAGTCACGCGCTGTTGGTCATTTTCATCCAGTCTGGCTTGGTTTGAAGCGTGTCTATATTTCCAGTTGTTCTCAGTGCATTTCTCACAACAATCTGCAGAACCCGGCTGATCTGTGTCGGTGTGGTCCAGAGTCCTCACACCATGGCTCATGAACAGCAGTGAAAGGCTGCGTCCTGTGTTCATGATCAGGTCACTCTGGACTGTTTCCAGTGCTGAAGTCAGATGTTGGTGCTCCAGACAGCAGCTCTATACACTGCAGCACAGCCAGTTACAGTAGAGTTACACACACTGCATCACTGCGCTGTCTGACACTGCATGTGTGTGTTCCACATCTTACTGTCTGCAACTGTCGTGGAGAGTGCTGGAGAAATCCACAGAGAACACCTGAACACTGTGAAACTGAGCTGAACCCATCATCATCATCATCATCATCATCACACAGAGAGACTCAGAGCTGCTCTGCACTGATACCAGAGCAGGAGATGATCAGTGATGGACATCATCTAACAGCCCACAACTGCTCTGAGAACAGTGAAGACAGACACACACACACACACACACTCTCTCTCTCTCTCTCTCTCTCTCTCTCTCTCTCTCTCTCTCTCTCCTCTCTCTCTCTCTCTGATTCTGGAGGGAAGATGAAGGACAGGAGGATCAGACAGACACTCTGATGATGCTCACAAATAAAGACAGAAGACTGAACTCATGTGCAAGATCAAGCTGGAGAAGCCTTTATTGAGGCTGTGAGGGATTATTTACAGGAAGATCTTCATCAGCCAGTTCAGCAAACCATCATCATCCTCATCATCGTCACTGAAGCGTTCACTACTGTTACAGACAGGTCAGCTCACTTCTCCATCCTGCAAACCTGCGAGTCTCTGTTCAACACCAATGAAGAATGCTGTGTGTGTGTGTGTGTGTGTGTGTGTGTGTTGAACAGAAGTGAAGAAATGATGAAGATTTGGCCATCAACACTGGAAGATGAAGAGCTTTAACCCTCGCTGGAGAACCGGCAGTGTGTGTGTGAGTTAAATCACGCTCACTCAGAGATGATGAGCAGGCAGAGTGTGTGTGTGTGTGTGTGTGCTGGATAAGCTTCAGTCAGCGCTGATGGACATAAATGAGCTCTTTGTGCTGAAACTGGGACACCTGTGACACACACACACACACACACACACACACACTCACACAACTACAGCAAAGTCCATCAGTAATGAGACACACTGCAGGA